TTCAATTTGGTAAATGGGGTAGCATGCTGGATTTATGTGTATGTGGTGATCAGATTTAATTTTAGTCTAGTTTACTTTTGCAATCTTACACACAAAAAATTTACTAGCCATAATATAAAAACTTCACATAATCACCTTGTTTGTATCTTTAAATGAAACATTCTCTATCATTCGGAATTTGGACTCATTATTATGTCTGTATATATATATATATATATATATATATACCATGTTTCACATGTCTAGCTCCAATAAGTCATTAGTTATCACCATCAGACTGAAACCTAATGTAGCTTTCAAGCTGTCACCATTTTGTTCATTTATATTCTACAAAGATTACATACACAAATTTACATATTCTTCTAGAATCTATTATCATACTTCACTTTAGACCCCAGGGTTAAATGGCTATAGTGTCAAACAGGGATAATTGATTGCAGGAAATGAACATTTTCTATGGTGAGGGTAAAATCCAGTTGCAAATATTCACACTGAATCTCACGCAAATCAGTCAACTAGTTCAAAATTTGAAATGAAGTGAACATGTGTGCTCTTGCACATGTAAAAATGCATTTGCACATATATATCACGGTATCTCAAAGGCCAATATTTGCTCCCACAGAAGGGGTGTAAGCTACGATATTACAAAATATGTAATAATTGTGTATTTAACAGACAAAATAGTTGTAGAGGAGAAAAAAAAAAGGGAAGCAGTGTATGTATTAGTATTCGTATTGAATTTTATACCTGAACTGTGGAGGAAGCATTTACAAATATGGAGGGCATACATAAATATATAGTTGCTTTATAATACTTTAACAACAAACAATTAAAAATGAATAAAAGTCAACAAATAGTTTACAGCAGTAAGAAACACTGACCTGCATAGTAAAGAGTTAAGGGATAAACTTATGACAATATGTTGCAATATTGAACAAATAATCAGGTGCAATGATCATGTAATGGACCAGGCTGATTAAATATTTTGTCATTGAGAAGCATATTTATGGATTCTTGAAAAATAAATGATCACATGTCAGAGAGAGTTATGAACACTGGAATATTTTATCGGTCTAAAAGAAAATATATCAAGATGATTGAAAATGCTAGAAATTGATAAAATTCATTATATAAAAATATTTAATACAGTGCTAAATTATGGAGCTATAACATGAATATTAATCAAGAAGAAATAATATTATTAATATACAAGCTGCAAAATGAAACTCCTGCTCTTGGTGTGGTTGACTATAACATACAGAAGCTTCCAGGTTCAATTCTCAGAACAGAGGGCAGCTATCCTAATTGAAACTACTTATGGTACATCGAAGAAAATATTGGAATAACATCTTAAAACAAATCATGAGCAATTCATTTCAGATGCTTCTGAACGTATTAAACTGCTGAATTGGAGGCGGTAATCTACCTATTTAATAAGGAAAGCACCATTAAATAAGCTAAGGAAAAAACAATAAAAGAGCAGTGAAAAGCATGACTGGAACTACCAGAAATGAGAGAATATGGAATGGAGTATGAGGAGGGCTGAATTAAGGACTGTGGAGGAAATACTGCAAAATTAACGACTAGTTTGGCAATGTAACATGTAAGGACAAAGACAGAAAGCCAAATTTAGATGAAGATATGGAAAAGAATTTGAGATGACTTAGAATTTAGGAATGCAGATACTAAGTGACAGTAGACAAAAGGAAAACTGCAAGAGAAACCGTTACCATGAGGGAGCAGTGACTGAGAAGGATTCAGGAAATTCTTATATGAAAAATTGTAAAATTTCCATGGATAATGTCTGATGAGTTGTGTTGAACATTATTTTGTGAGACACTTCTTGAAGAAGACAGCACCTCTTGGAAGGACTTTGACCTTTGAACTGTCATATGTCCTTCAGTTTAAATATACAGTCAAACTCTCGATTATCCGGGATAATAGTGGGGATGGAAATCACGATTAATCGAAAACCCGGTTAAGACAAATTTTATTAAAAGTAGTACTGTAATACTGTACCTTCATAATACTATAGGCCTACCTGTATTTAAATTTATTCAACC